AGTCTCAATAATTAGTCTGATGTTGTAATACTGATACCCTGGGTTTTTTTTGTAACGTTTAAAGTAGTGATGGCAAACTCCACAGGGTATGCCTTAATACAAGTATGCCAATCAAACGCTAAAATGTGAAGGAATGCACTTTATAAGTTTCAACTGAAAGTATATTTTGTTTATTAAAAAGATATTGTATTCACAGGATACCGAAACAATCTTACACGGCCTATACAAGTCGAATTTACAATACAAATATGATATACAGAAAAAAAACCCAACACACGTGTTAGTTAACAGCAGGACCAAGAAAGTATAAAACCGCTCAGAAATAATCTCGAAAACTAATATTAAGAATCTCTTGCACTTACGTTACCTTTATAAACGCGTTTATCCTGTTCATTTCTAAACCTGATCTATTTCGACAAATATATAGAGTGCGCTAAGAACAGAAAAAGCCAAAGGTTTCCTAAATATATTCATAGGATATCTTAGATGATTGCATATGTCTCATATACCCACTGCAACACCAGTTAAAAAAGAAATGGTGTTATGTAACAGTTTGTATGTTTAGATTGTCGTTTATTAATGGTGAATGGGAATTTACGTTATATTAGCGTTTAAAAGGCCAAAGTCCCGTTTTTGTTACAATTCTGGAGTTAATTTCAACGTTAATGAACACTAACACCTAAAATCTAACCATTATATTTTTTAAATAATCGTCGGTTGATTTTGCATTAATTGCGCATTTGATAAATTGTTACGAATTCAGATATAACCAGCGGTTGCCAGGCAAGATACACCCATATTTTGCAAGAGATGGATAGAGAACAAGCGATTTTTCGTGCAATCAGGGGCCATGATTGAGATATTTAGGATATAAACATAAATTGCCAGTTTCATCAAAATCGGATAAAAATTGTGGCTTCTAGAGGGTCCACAACCTTGGCATTAATACTTTTACACTATTGGCATACACGCAGCGGCCATTTTGTCTGGCAGATTCGGTCAGAATTTTACAAAATTCGAACTCAACCTTCATTGATGTGTAACAGTGATAACGTTTTTTAAAATTGAATACAAATTGTGACTTCTATCGGGTTCACAAGTCACAAATGTGATTTTTCGAACAATCAGTAGCTATAATCCAGTATGTTACGTTCGGATATGCACGATTATCAAAATGAACCAACATCGTTGTGATATAAACATAAATTAAAGATTCATGAAAATCGGATCTAAATTGTGGCCTCTAAAGGGTACACAACCTTGATATACCATATTTACACTATTTGCGTACAAGAGGCGGCCATTTTGTCCGGTAGTGTTGGTCCGATTTTCACGAAATTCGAACTCAACCGGCAGTAGGATGTAACGGTGATATATTCAAACGATTTTTTAAATAGGAAAAAATTGTGAACTCTAGTGGGACCACAATCTAAAAACGCGATTTATCGTAAAATCAAGGGCCATAATTCAGGAAGTTACGATCCGATATGCGCGAATATTGAAAGAAACCTTTAGGGGGTCCGCATCTTTGATATTCCATATTTTTATACTATTTGTGTACTAGGGCCGGCCATTTTGTCCGGCAGTTTTGGTCCGATTTTCACGAAATGCGAACTCAATCATTACGATGTGACAGTGATATATTCAAGAGCTTTTTTTTTTAAATCGGATTATAATTGTGACCTCTGGAGGGATCACAAGCTAAAAACGCGATTTTTTGTACAATCAGGGGCCATAATTCAGGAAGTTACGATCTGATATGCGCGAATATCGACAGGATCCAAGATTTTTGGGCTATAAACTTGCATTTCAGGTTTCATCAAAATCAGATGAAAATTGGGACCCCTAGAATGTCCACAAGCTAAAAACGTTTTTTTTCGAACAATCAGGGGCCATAATCCATAAAGTTATGGTCCGATACATGCCAATATCGACCGGAACCGAGAGTGTCCACAAACAAATTGTGGACGGACAGGGGCGACGGCATAATACGTCCACATGAAAATGCGGGCGTATAAAAATGTTGGGTGCTCATCTTACCTATAACGGTACAATATACCTTGAATGGCGTCTTTAAATATCGACTTGTAATGATTAATTCCAGCTCTTGGGTTTTCAGCGTTTTGATCGGTAAACAGACATCTAATCTGAAATAGCAATCGATTAGTCTCGGTAAATTTTGAAGAGATTACATCTAGGCAGTGGTATGCAAAAGGTTTGGCGACGCCCTTAACGAGAAATGTGAGAAAGGAAGGCATTTTAAATATGTCAAAACCGACGAAATAAACTTTGTATTCAAATTAACTTAATTTGTATGTCAGTCTTTGATTAGATGTCTGAGACAATCGACCATCTGGAGCTCTACTCTGTATGCCGCAGTATCTATGTTTAAAACAAGAATTGAAATATTTTGTTTTAATTTTATTATTTGTTTGGTAAACTTAATAAACTAGTGTATTTTCCATTTTTAGACGTTCCGTTTGTTTGCTTTGGGAATTAAAGCTGAACCCAGATTAAAAAAACTACAGAAATAATTAAATAAAAAAAAGTTAACGCCCTAAATAATCACCATATGTGTTCTCAATTTGTAGAATAAACATGGCGATTGCCCACGATGTACTTATATTTTAAAACTATTTCTGTAGTTTTATAATTGGAGTTCAGCTTTTAAAAGAAATGATTTCAATGATTGTATTGATTTTTTTTTGTAACTTAATTCATAAACAAATGATTTCAAATAATGATAGCTTATCCAAGTGTTCTCAGGGGTGATGTAAAATTGACGGACAATATATATCTATTGTTTTTATGGTCGACAATATTTTCACGGGGGGGGGGGGGGGGAAGTTACGGGCCTGTTGGTGTAATTGCACTAGTTCCAGTTTTGGAACATACCATGGATTATATCTCAACATAAACTTTATCTTTCGATGTTCGATTCCTGGCATATGCGTGACAAGAAGCATAGGCGTACGAGCCAGGGGGGCAGGGGCAGCTGCCCCCCTAACTTTCGGGCAATCTGACTTTTCGGGCAGACAGACGGGTAAAGTGATAAAAAAAAAAATTATTTGATCTACATGGCAAAAAAAAGTGCCCGAAAACTAATAAAACACTAATTTTACGTGCTGGAATAGCTGGAAAACGCGTTTGCGGCCGTCAAATATTCCAAAATTTTCATGGGCTCCGCTTCTTCACCTCTCGAAGAAGACCAGCGTCGCTGTCAGTAAACCCGAAATTTTTTCGGGCATTTCGGGTTCTGCGCCCCGAAATTGTCATCAAGCGCTAATAAAACACTGATTTTACTTTTCTTTTAATTGAAATCCACGAATTTGTACTGAGATGACTATGGATTAAAACACTTTGTCTGGAGCCACTTTTTTCGGGTATCGATTATTATTTGTGAATGCAGCTGCAACAGTCTGATTGGATGGGTGGAATTCAGAGGGGGTTTTCGGTTACAAAACCATTGGACACTTTTGGAGTTGCTTACATGGGCTAGAATAGCAGAAAACGCATTTGTGGTGGTTAAATTTTCAGGCCCCCATATCCCGCGACAATTGATTGGTTGATTGGAATTTGGGTCAGCCAGGTAGGCTACATTGAACCAAATTGAATTTGCTGTATTCAGTCTGGAATAGCAGGAAATCGCGTTTGCGACAGTCAAATTTTCTCCCAACAGTCGCGTCTTCGTGGACTGTAAACGATTGATTGGAATTCGAGTCAGCCACCTTAATAAGGCTATATTAGACCACTTTGAAGTTGCTTTGTTCACGGGCTGAAATAGCAGGAAAAGGGGGGTGGGGTAGCCGCTGTCTGTAAACGCAAAATTTTTTTTCGGGCATTTCGGGTTCTGCCCCCCCCCCTAACTGTCATCGAGCTCGTACGCCTATGACAAGAAGTGTTTTTTTTCTATTTCTAAAGACTCGTTCGCGCAAGAGAATTATTGAACTTGTCTGTTCCGAAATTAGTGTCGAGTCCTAGTATGGACGTAGACAGATTGTCAACTCCCAAAATAAATATCACACAAGTTCAGTTTACTGTTAAAACACATGGACTATAATAGCACTCACTAAGTGACTGACTAAATATTGAACTTGTGACTGACTAAATATATGGAACTTGTCTGTTCCGAAATTAGTGTCGAGTCCTAGTATGGACGTAGACAGATTGTCAACTCCCAAAATAAATATCACACAAGTTCAGTTTACTGTTAAAACACATGGACTATAATAGCACTCACTAAGTGACTGACTATATATATATATAGGGGATATTAGAATGCAAATACCTATGCAGGTTGCGATATGACAAATAGTCATGGACATTTGACATGCTTTGAGAATATGTTCACAGATGAAGAACTTACCGCCCCAACAGAACCACTTAGCTGCACATGCGACACGCAACAGCGCCACACACGTGGGAGGGGTTCATTGTCAAATTTGACACTTCAAGGAAGGGTTGATGAAAACTGCTGCGTGCTGGTTTATCTATCCATGTTTGCTTCCTATCGGTTCTTGCATAAGATTTACTGTTTAGCGTTTCTTTTCTTTAATGTGTTACGTTAATATGTAACTGATATATCGAGAATAATCAATAATGGTATTAACATTGGAGCCACGGTGGCCCGGTTTGTAAGGCGCTGGCCCATTAACCCGGGGATCCGGGTTTCAATCCCGATGTTTGCTAAAAAGTTCCACGGGATTTTCCAGTTGTTCAGGACGAAGGGTCTGGAAAGGAACACACTCTAGTCGTTCGGATGGGGCAAAAAACAGAGGTCCCGTGTACGCCATGACGTGCACGTAAAAGAGCCGTTGATAGTTGCAATTCAATTGTAGTCTGGACAAAATTTGCTTTATAGCACACTGCATGTCATACACATGATCATATGCTCGTGTTTGTTATAGCCTGACAGGTGCAGAAAGTAAGAAGTTAATATCCCATGGCATCCATTCAAAGTATGAACATTAATCAGACAGTCTTGTTATTGTATATTGCAGATTCCAGATGTGCCATATTTAATATTCACGAATAATGAAGGCTCCGGTCGCTACAGACATCGATTTATTTGAAGAGGAACATTGATACATTGAGTAGTTTATCAAGGAACAAGTTTGTAGCCTTCATCTCATCTCACTTATAAATAGAAACTTATAATAAATAAAAGAGTGTAAGCAATTACATTAACAACATCCTAATCTCTGTGAGTGCTAGTTAATCTTTCGGCGTGACAATTGCAACACTTTCCAGTTGTCACATCAGTTCAGTCCTGGTTCAAAGTTTTCATAAAGAGGATTAATCGTGTGGTGCCAGCAAGCCTAACCTCCAGTTTCTCATTCAGTCGAACATACAATCAGTCAGGGTGGTAGTCCAGAATGTAAAGGTCATAACAATAAGACGATCCAGAAAGATTAATATATTTCACTCTTTTTTAATTAGAAGAGCATTACTATTAATCACCAGATGTATTAATGTCACGAAAGCAAAGTTTTCCAGTAATACAATAGAACCGTGGAAACCGCAGCCAATGTACGTCAGATACTAACATTATATGATTCTATGAATAACTTCAGCTTATTTTTGTATCTTAGATCTCCAGTTCTGGTGCCCTTAGATTCAGGGACTACAGACAGGAATAAAATCCCACAGGTGCATGTTTAAAACAGTATACAAGTTTATGGATCACGTGGTGAATGAATATCTTAACTTCTAAGTCTTTAAGTTCATTAATAATATCAATCCAGCATAGCTCAATCCGGTTATACAATGTATTTTTGGACTTTGTGATGCAAGGTGATTGACGCAAATACAATCATTTTCTTCTGACGTCAGAAGACAGTGTGGAATTAAAAAAGGCATTAACTGAGCGGACATTGTGAATTTTCTATTCGATTATAGATTGTTTAACGGACAGCTGTGACATCAAACATAAGTAATATATTTACAATTAAAACTACTGATGAAAGTCATCCGATAGAGACAACAGCGCGTAAAAACATTTTTGTCATTCCATTGTATAGTTTGAACACCGACCGAGAACAACCAACGTTTGAAAGTTGCAGCGAACCACCATGTCATACGGGGATAGCTATGACTATTCTGCACTGGATTATCCTTATAATGTCTCCGATTACTACCTGGTCTCTACTAATGGAACCGACCATCTTTACGGCTTGGCACATGTTGTCAACTTATACCTCATACCCATCATCGCAAATCTAGGAATTGTGGGCAATTTGTGTGCTTTCCTTGTCTTTCTATTTTCGCCATTTCGCTATTTTCCATGCAGCATGTATCTCGCTGCTTTAGTCATATCAGATACTGGTTTCTTAGCAGCCTTGCTTCTCAGTTGGATGATCAGCTTGAAACCGGAAATTACGCAAACTCCTGGATGCTGCCATATTATGGTTTACGTGACATACGTCTGCAGCTTTCTGTCAGCTTGGTACGTCGTCCTCATGATGTTAGAGCGGTATATAGTGGTTTGTTATCCGTTGCGGGCACCGAGAATATGGACTAAACTGAAAGCACGAATCGCCTTGTGTTCTATAACTTTCATCGCCATTGTTATGTACTTACATAGCTTCGTAACTACTGGTTCCATAGAAACGCCATATGGTCATATTTGTACTTCTTTACCATCGCATTTGCGCTTCGTCGCCATTTTTACTTACGTAGATTCCGTCATAACTTTTGTTGTGCCTTTTATAGCCATTTTGTTTTTTAATCTACGCATCATCTACACCATCCATAACTTTAGACGGAAACATCATCTGATCCAATCAACATATAATTCCAATCGCCATCAAGTTATTGGCGTTTTGTCTCAAGCTCAAATCCGGTCTACGAAGATGATAGTTCTAGTGTCTAGTGTATTTCTATTGCTCTACTTACCGAGCTACGCCATGCGTATTTATATTCTTATTAAAATACTCGTGCAGGATGACCAACCTTTCAGTGATGTTTATCATAGGCCAACTCACATTGCGCAACTGACCTGTCAATTTTTGTACTACATTAACTTTGCCATAGATTTTCTAGTGTACAGTCTCTCAAGCAGAAATTTCAGACGAAATGTTACACGATTGGTGCGAAATGTGTTTAAAAGGCAAAGTATGTGAAATCTATTCGGACTTTGGGATTGGTCTAGATTAAGACCCAGTAACATAAAAACAGAGTTTGATTGACGTTTTATACAGCTAAATTATATGCATAGAGAGTGCTGGAATGTTATTCAAAATAGTACTGCCTAAGCCATTTTATAAGACAGAAGGTATATATATATTATCCATACATGTGGAACAATATTCAGAATAATGAATGCCACTCTCCAAGTCACGTTAACTTGATTAGGTTCGTGTTTCTGAAACTTTGTAAGGTAATAGGGTATTGTATTAAAAGTAATAGTTAATAAAAACTTTGTTCTTGAATTTCGTACCAAAAATTATTATCCCATTTAGGTCACCTACCAATGGCAAATCGTGGTGTTCTGTCATTAAAATGTTTTGAAATGGGACTTGCATCCGTAATATTCTTAATGTTGCTGATTTAAAGAGATAAAACCAATGATGTGTTAATTAATTTACTGATACTCCATTACCAGTAAAGCCTTCGTCAGACCAAACGCACGACCTAACGCGATTCAAATTATTACCTTTACTAGAAGAATGCCCGGCTTCACTCGGGGGTCATAACCCCGAAACCGGAAGTGGTAGACTAACGCCACCTGGCCTATGTTACTTCCCGGTCCGAGCTACCCCAGACTCGGGGCAGACCTAGTGTAGCCGCCAACCCCGAACAGACAGACAAACGACAGTCACAAATATTAGTATAGATTGTATTTTTTTATGAATGGGTTATGCCCCCGTCAGACCAGGGTGGCGTCCTTACTGCGCTGCTGCGACTGTACGGCGACCAGAAATTGCACAAGGTCGCCGGAAAACGTGAACACAAGGCAAGAAACTGTTCCAAAAAATTACAAACTTGAAAAATAGCCGCGTTCACACAGCTTTCCAGGTCAGATCGCAGAACCTTGGCGTTTGTTTTGAACATGCTCAAAACAAACGCCATCAATCGTCGATCATTTTCTGGCGTTTCCACCACGCTTTTACTACGCTTACGGCGATCTTGACGCGCTTTGGGACCATTTCCGTCGCCGTAGCAGTGCAGTAAGGGCGCCAACCCAGTCTGATGGGGGTATTAAAAACCCTTGATACTGAGCGACAAAACTTAGCAGATTTTACTTGTTTTAGGTAGTCTGTGCCGTTGTTTATCAATACTGATCCGTAATATAATTTTTAAGCATTGTTTTTTATCCATGTATTTTATAGTTAGCCACAGTAGACTGTTTAATCCACATGTTGCATCATGTAAGAAAAAGAACTTCACATTTAATTGACTAATTAAGTGGAAGGTGAAATGAAATAGGGTTTAACGTCCAACTGTTCTGCTCTAATGAAGACGGGCATACGCCATACAGTATGCGATGAGGGAAATTTTGCCCGGGCAGCGGCACTATGGCCTACTCTTATATCGAATTCCAATTGCCAAGGGATCTCTTACGTGAATGCCAATGTACGTTTTTTCGTCCCATCCGAACGACTAGACAGCTGCCCTCCGCCCTGCACCACTGACAAGGGGAACCACGTCGGATATCTCGATGAACTTTCTCGACCAATGCAAGGATCGAACACGCGACCTCCAGGCTAGTGAGCCAGCGTCTTACCCACTTAGCCACCGTGGTTGACAGTATAGCATATATAGTGTAATAATAAAAACACAAACGCCATTAAATTCCCTTTCTATTCAGATACCGCGCCACTACTCCAAATAATGCGACTTTCCTCCAACGTTCACTCTTTGAAGGTGGCAATAACGTGGTCGCGAGTGATTTAAGTGTGACATGTGTTTAAAGCGCACTGCAGTCTAGAACCACACCAACTAACAGGAAAATCAGGACAACGAGTCCAGCTAACTTTGCCATCCCAACTTTTCATGGGATAAAATCTAATAACGCTGTGGCTCAAAAATGTTGAATTGTATTGCTCTATTATTATGGCATTGCAAGGTGTATCCTTTATCCCCGCCGCAGTGCTGGTATGATAATCTTGAAGCATAAATTATATCAAACAAGCGCATGTATTGATAGTTCGAGGGTGAAGCACAAACAAGCGGTGGTATGTTTTGGAATAAAAAATCACTTTACGAAAATGGACGAAAGCCTTATCATGGGCTTTAAAATTAAATGAAATGGGGTTTAACGTCCTTCTGGTCTGCTCCTATACTGGGCTAATGAAGACGGGCATACGCCATACAGTGTGCTATGAGGGAAATGTTGCCCGGTCAGCGGCTCTATCGCCTACTCTTATATCGAATTCCAACTGCCAAGGGATCTTTTACGTGCATTCTAATGTATACACGGGACCTCGGTTTTTCGTCTCATCCGAAGGACTAGACAGCTGTCCTTGTCAGGCCCTCCGTTCTGCACCACTGACAAGGGGAAACCACGTCCGAAAATCAGGATAAACTTTCTCGGTCAATGCAGGGATCGAACACCCGACCTCCAGGATAGCGAGCCAGCGTCTTAACCACCTAGCCACCGTGGCTCCCTTTATAATTAAAGGACTTCTATCAAAACATAAAGTCATTCACATGGCACAAACCGAAAGGTGTGTGCTATCTCGTGGAAAGCACATTTCCTGGACCCTGTTTCACGAAAACTTATATCTTCTTAAAATCGTCTTAAACTAAAATTTCATCCTAACTTAAGATAGACAAGTTTCACGAAACGATTTCAAGCATTTTAGATAAAATCCACTAAATAATACTGTAAGTTAAAATTGTATGTTAAAACTCACAAAACTATTTTAGGAAAATTTTAACTAAAATAATTTTAACTCAGGACAGCCGTCACCCTCTCCTATAAATTAAAATCACGAAATTAACAAACATTGCATGATTAGGGTTACGTTGTTAGAACTGTTGCTACATAGAGATAGATTTGGAACAATAATAATATTGCCAATGGCCCGGGTCACATAATTTTAACATCCCACCATTCACAAAAACAATTCATTCTCATTCAATTTATTTTCATAGCATGGGAAATACAGCTACGGCAATTTGATGACGCCCCAAGAACAAAAAACTCTCAAAACCCCAGTAAATTACGGTTTTATATATACATGTATTGCCATATGATTCAAGTATAAATTATACTATTTTCAAATAATTGCCAGGCAACAAAAAAACAACAGAAAAACAAACCGCTAAAAGTATACCCGAACTCACTTCATATCTAATATGATGGACATGGGAGCACTCATTATCTATAAAATATCGTGTAGGCCTACAAGTACAATGGGTTAAATGGCCAATTTCTTGGTATTAGAAGGCCCAAGGGCCGATAATACTAGACATGTCATATGCAAAGTATTTATTCTTGGGTCGAGGGTGATGATGGTTTGAAAAAAGATAAATCACTCAATAATGTCAAATTTTGTTTTTGAAATATGTTTTAGATCTATTTGAAATTAAATTATAATATCAAAAATTTAATATTATTTTCTTAATGAAGTCTTACGTTCATTTTATCTTGGGGAAAAATCATTTTAATTTAGAAAGATAGATAGGCATTGTCCAAAAAGGAGCGTGGTACTTTGGCGTTTTCAAAGTATCATTGAAAGGGTCTATGGAGCGGACATTTCAAATCTAGGCATCGGAACATTGGCTATTTCGGGTAGTTTAAAAGTTGTTAAAGGCTTTTAAAATTCGACACTCTGATTAAACGCAGATCCTAATTCGTTTTTTGTAGTTCAAAATTTCGTTTTACTTGTTTTTACTACACTAGGATCTTCAAGAGTTGTTATATAACTCGCGTTCTGGATGATGTGAGGTATTAACCAATGAAACCATCTGTTACGGCGAGTTTTTGGTGTTAGGTGCACGGAACAGTGGGTAACCCACCAGAAACATCAACGCTAATTGGCAGGCCCGTAGTTAGCCGGTGACAGCCGAACCAATGTTACTCGGCTTTATGGGGCGCCCATACTGATATGTGGTCGTTGGCTTCGTATTGCGTCTAATGATTCGTTAATCGAATGTCGGACGCGCGTCATAGGTCGAAAGCCGCTCGTATAACCTCTGACGCGACCTTCCACTACAACTGGTCAGATCTTCATGTAGTGTAGGCCATCGAAAGTATAAAAAAAAACGAAACGAAATATAAATCTGTATTTAAATCAGACTGAAAATACAACAATAATTTACAGCCTGGAGTAGTCGTTTTAATCACAAATATATGTTTGTGACCATTCTCAATAGTTTCTGTTATCCAAACTACAATAAAACTAGGAAATTCGTGTGATTTAGTTCATCGATACGCATTATTTTCATTGATTTGAACCCTGCAAGTAAATCAAATGCCAAGGTCATGAAAACTCATTTAGTTCATCTCTCTACGACTGTCTGACTATGTGCAAGCATTGCTACAGCGTATGAAACACTCCCCGTCGGTATTGTAACCGTTAATTCAACCTGTGAACAGATTTTAGTTCCGAAGCGTATTTGCTTACACCCTAAGTGCTCTCATCGGCGCAAGCAATTTTAGCTAAAATGTATTAAAATTACATTTTAAGTTATCTTCGTAAAACGCATAGAACTTAAAATTTGATTTTAGTTAAAATAATTTTTTAGTGATTTTAGCTTACGTTTTTGTGAAACAGGGCCCTGTGCATCCAAAAGACATGATGGTCGCTATAACCGGAGCGTGGTCAAAAGACTACGACGCAAAAATCCACAATTTTTGCACCACCCTACACGGTACGGTCAACATGTGTCTGGGCCCTGTTTCACTATAACTTAACCCAAAATCACTAAAATAGATTTTAACTAAATCAAAATAAAATTTCAAATTGTATGCGTTTCTCGAAGATCGATTGTAACGTCATGGGGCGCTTTAACGAGAAAACAAATCGGTTTCGATTACCTATCTAGTTTTGTACATGACGTAGGTCTCGAGTTGGTATTCGAATCGGTACTCGTAAACGCAACGTGTTTGTTGCCTCGCAAGATGACTAAAGACTGAATAGGCCTAATTGAGGAAAATGTTCAAAAATCATTTTTCTTTATTCTGTTCTTGAAGACACCACCCAAAAATAAAAACGCGAATTTTACCTGTTCCCAAATGTCCCGTATTCGTATTAGGAATGGCCACAAAATTTATAATTTAACGTGAAATTTAAAAGAAAATGAACTAACGTCAGCCACGTCGTG